GGTGTGTTTATGTTTCTTAGAATGCAGTGTGTTTAATAAAAGTTTAGTTGCTATCATCATCGTTTTCATTTCTTTGTGTGTGTGTGTGTGTTAATTTTCACCTGAGGATATTTTTTCATTGATTTTTAGAGAGTGGAAAGAATGGGGAGAGACAGAGGAGAGGGGGACATCGATGTGAGAGACACATCAATTGGTTACCTCCCACACACACCCGACCAGGCCAGGGATCAAGCCTACAACTTAGATATGTGCCTTTGGCCAGAATCAAACCCTGGACCCTTCAGTCTGGGGGCTGATGCTCTATCCACTGAACCAAACCAGCTAGGATACCATTTTCATTCCTCAGTTTGTTTTTTATCATCACCTGAAAGACTAATTGTTATTTGGAATTTCTTTCTTTATAGTTTACTTGTCAGAAATGTAGACCTATAACAAAGTATCATCGGTAATTGTGTCTAACTTTTATAATCAGGTATGGGTGGTATTATAAGATTGTTTAGTATATTATTAAACTGTAATTTACTATATAAATAAAGCTATATTCCATTTCCTTGAGTGCTGTCTTGTCATTTCAGCCTCCCTTAAATCAAAAAAGGTTAGTGGTTTTGTGCTTTGAACATATTTATACCCATAGTAATTATATATATAAATTTGTTTTTGTTGTCACTTTGCTCTGTTATGTTAAGATATAACTTTAGTCTTATAGTTTATAAAAGACTTTAACCCTTATACTCCTTCTGATACATTGAAACAAGGTGTAGTTTAGAGGTGATAAAGGAAAAGCAGTGTCTTTGGTGGGATATGAAAATCAGACCTCATCAGAATTATTGTAGAAAATCTAAGAGAGTTGACTAGAAGTAAGAGAACAAGAATAAAAGAGGACTAAACACTGTCAAATGTAACTGGCGACTTAAACGGGGGCAAAAAGAGGCAGGCCCAGAAACCACATATATGATCAAGGGAGGAGACTAGGAGGCGTCTAATATAATATAGGCAGACACAACAGTTTTGAGTATAGCAGAGCACTGTGGGGAAAGCTGCAGTATTTTAATGCAAAATATGACAATTGATTTTAATGATGCTCCTCAATAATAAAAGCTCAGCTGTTGAATTCAGTAAATATTTGCTTCAGGCTGGGTATGTGTAAAGCCAGTGTATAGATACTGTTAAGAATTAAAGAAGTGGCCTGGCCAGCATGGCTCACTGGTTGAGCGTTGACTTATGAGCTAGTAGGTCACAGTTCAGTTCCTGACCAGGGCACATGCCTGGGTTGTGGTCTCAATCCCCAGTGTGGGGTGTGCAGGAAATAGATGATCAATGGTTCTCTTTCATCATTGATGCTTCTATCTCCCTCTCTCTCTCCTTCCTCTCTGAAATCAATAAAAACATATTTTTTAAATAGAATAGAAAAATCAGTGAGACATGGTTCTGGTATTTAACTGAAATAAAACTTTCGAATAGCAAGAATAAGACGGACACAACCATAAGTTATGGTATGGTTTTTAGAGCAAAAGGTAAACTATTAAAGAGGGGGAGAGAAGAGAATCTGGACATGGGTGGTGACTGGCATAGAGTTATGGGCATCACCATCCATGTTTGGGAACAGGCCAGTGTATTTGCACTGTGGAGTGAGGTGCAGCTGTTGTGGGACAGTAAGCAGGAAATGGCTCCTGAAGGCAGTGGATTGAAATGAGGCTATAGCAGCCCCTCCCTCTGTCAAGGCACAGGTAAGCTTGTGGCTGCAGTTCAAATATTTTTCTACAAAATCAATTGGTCCTTGTCCGCAAGTTCTAAAAATCCACACGTATTAAAAAAACACCTCAGAACTAATAATAGCTAAGACATAAATGTGGGCAGTTTGGAGGAGGGATAGACGAGCTGCCGTTCGGACATGGGGGGTTGAGAGTGCTTTAGAGACCATGACAGACACGTCCACTTGGTGGTCTGATTTGGGGGTCTGAGAGTCGGCCAGGAGGCCTGTGCTGGAAATTTAAACCTGATGTTCTGTATTGCTGAAGATTTAAAAGGCACAGAATCTGAAATGACATTGTTTTGGGTAACCATAAGACAGATGTTATAATAATTAGTAATAATGAGCTGTTTTTCTACATTAGTTTCTCAGTTGTTGACTCCTGAAATATAACTAAATGTAACTAAAAAGAAATTGATGCCTCATACACCCCTGTTTCTATGGGGAACCATTTTTCATGTGTGCCCTATTTGTTATTCTGCTTCTTTGCTTCCTTTCCACCTGTTTTGTCCCAGGTCATTTTTTGAAGTGAGAAATTTGGGGGGTGGATTCTTAATGTAGGTGTTTTGGAATACAGAAGTATGTATCACATAGTCTTATTCTAATTCTTATTTGTTTGTGACTGAAATAGAACCTTTATAGGTATAAACATAGACTTCGCTAGTATTTACCAACTCCAGATTTCCTGTATTATCTGTTTAAGAAACAGAGAAGACAGGGAGAAATTATATTTGTGTTGAATAATTACTAGGCTTAAAACTCAATGTTGAAAGAATTTACTATCCATAACTCTTTATGAGTTAAAATGGATAAATGCAACTTCTGGGCAGAATTATCTTAAAACCTTTTTTTAAACGAAGTCTGATAAGGTTATAGATTACAAATAGGAAATTCTGTAAGGACTTATGTGGAATACATGGTTTTCCCCCGCTTTGCTGCCTAACCGTCCCCTGCCCCCCAACTTCCTACTCTTGAAGAGATTCTTTGGTATTTATTCTCAGTTACTGCACTATGTACTTACTGTGTGTGGGTGTGTGTGAGTGTGTGTGTGTGTATGTGTTTACATTCTACACAGAAAGGTCTTCCCATCACCTGCCCCCAGCTTATGGGCTGGCAGCCTTCCCTGGGGGTGGAGCGACAAGAGAAGACAGGACACCTCAGACTTCAGTATAGAAAGGACCTCATCAGCTGCCCCTCACACCTCGTTCCAGAAAGTGCACCTGTTCAGAAGTGTGTTTCTAGTGTTTGGCTGGGAGCTAGGGAGCGCTAGGCCACCAGCTATTTGGGGGCAAGGATGTAGTGATTCACCGCCTTGTCTATAAGAGTTTGTTCTTTCAACAGCTTTTAAAAACTATAAGCAAAACTTTCTTCTGAAGCAAGCATTAGGATAAGTATTTTAATCGGCACTTAAATTGTTGAATTGAGTTTACATTTACCTAGGTGTTCTACAACTCATAAATGTATTCCTTTAATAAAGCACAATGTAAAGTTGCACTGCAGCTCTGTTCTCTGTTCCTCTTATGTAAGTCCTTCCCTTTTTAAATCCTCTGGCTTTTGTCTGCCCCATGTATAAAAGTTTTGTAGAAAGTCACTTATAATTTTAGTTTTCATTTTTAGGCCTTTCTAAAATATTTTATGTAAAAATACTCCTCATCATTTTATGTTAGTATCTTTATGCATTAGTGTCTCTGTTTCTATTAATTATAACATCTGTGTTCGAGGTTGCTTTGATTGATTTTTTTTCATCAGATGTTATAATTTTCTGCTTCTTTGTCTGCCTATTAATTTCTGATTAGGTGCCAGATAGTGTGAATATTACTTTTGGGGGCAGTTATTTGTATGTCTAAGTTTTCTTGATCTTTGTTCTGGGGTATTGACTATTGCTGTTGCCCGTGAAATACCCCATGTGAGGCCTCTGAGCGACTGTGGTGGCTCCGGGCTCACTCTTTGGAGTCATGTTGATGGCCTTGCACGGGCTGCTGCGTTTTGTCTGGTTTCTCATTCCCCGCACAACATTTGGGATGCATTTCCATAGTAATGTTATGAACAGAAAGTAAAGACAGAAGCATATTATTTCATTTTTACAATTCTGTTCTTATTGACTAAGCTACATAGATTTTTTTTCTCGCATGGCCTCTGCAAACATGTGAGTTGTAATAAACAGCTGCTTTCATTATACCAGTTTTGTCCATTTATACCAGTTTTATTTTCTTTGATTACAATTTCACAATTTAGTACCCTTCAAGAGGCAATTAGTTATTGCTTATATGGTACCTTGCACTAAGCCAGGTCTATCTATTTATACCATTTTTATATTTAAAATACGTTTATATTTTTTCATTAAAGTTTTATGTATATATTACAAATGATGTATACATGTATTTATATTTCTCTAAAATGTAATAAAGAAGCAGCTCTGAAATTGTTGTATCTCCGGTGAAAGGGAAATGTGGCAGCTCTCCCTGCACCCCTTTGTAGCTCACAGCGCTTCCGCCTGGAGAAGAGGCCTTCTGAGTGACTAGCGCTCCAGGGAAGGAGACTAGATGTTCTCTGTTTAACTAGTACTTGTGGGTGGGTGTCATTGAAGAATAACCTGACTGCTCACTGCTTTTACAGTAAGCTAATGATGGAAACATAGTTTATTACTATAATAACGAAATATTTCCATAAATGCTACTTGAAATACTTAAAACAAATGGCATTTCTCTTATACAATGTCTATTTGCAAAACATTTTCCCTAATCTTGAATTCAGTCAATGCTATTAAAAAGTAATTGTAAAAACTTCTCTGAATTTGTGTTTTTCTAACTTTGAGCTCCTAAATTGGTAAGTTACCAGCTATGTGACCTTGACAGTGACTCACTTAAATTTATCCCAGTGACCTGGTCTTAAAAGCAAAATATAGAGATAACAACATGTTTTTCATATTAACTGAAGGCTAATAGCATAAGTGAGTTTCTTAGTGCACATAAGAGCACACAGGGGTTCTGGTGGCTTGCTCACTGTTGAATCCTAAGCAGCTGGCTCCATGGTACAGAGTAGGTGCTCAACAAATGTTTGTTGACTATCATTTGATCCACTGGGCTTCCACAGAGGTTTTTTGCCAGGAAAATAACAAAATATTTATAATGTCATCATAGAAAAATAATGTAAACATATCTTAAATAACTGCCAACAGATTAGTATTATGAAAAGTATACTTTCTTTCTTGAAAAGAAACATGTAATATTTTACTTTGTACATTTTTTAGGAGGAGCAAAATAGAGGCAAGCCCAATTGGGAGCACCTCAATGAAGACTTGCACGTACTGATTACTGTGGAAGATGCTCAAAACAGAGCGGAGATCAAACTGAAGAGAGCCGTTGAGGAAGTGAAGAAATTACTGGTACCTGCAGTAAGTAGTCATTTCTAAGTTTTAGATTTGGGTTCCAACCCCTTTTCCAGTTTAATTTTAAATTGTTGTAAGATTATTGTAATAAGCAGGTATTGTTAGAAATGTTATTTAAATAAAAATACAGAAATTACAACTACTATAATACAGTAGACTACGTAGGCACGAGTCAGATCTGTAAATGCAAAAGCCTGTTTGTTAGAGTTGTGAAGGGAGCAAGGTGAATCAGTGGCCTACTTTTCTAAGTTTTATTAACTTTTGTATCACTCTGTCATGGGTAAGACATCAGTAGGGAAATGAGAGCTTTCTTTTTTTTTAGTGGGACAGTTTTTCTGTAAGCAGGTAATGAGTGCACAGAGTCTACAGCTGATACTTACGTTGGGTGAGCTGTATGAGTAGGGGCACATATTGGACTTGCCTGTGGGTTCCAAGTACTCTTCCTGGCACACCATTGTCTACATGGAGGAATTGTCCCATACCGTGATAGAATAGTATTTAGAAAAATAAGATCACTCTTACTAGTGTACCAGGCACCTTTGTGTTCTCATCCTCCCTCCCTTTCCTTCTCACTTTCCCCGTCTATTTCTCTCAACTCCCTTCTCCCTTTTGTCATTTCCTCGTTACAGAAACCTATAGTAGCTTTATAATTTCTAAAAAATCATTATTGCTGAAAGTATTGCATATGTCCCTCTTTTTCCCCATTGGGCCATTTCTAGCCCACCCCCGGCCCCCACCCCAAGCATTCACCACCCTATACTCATAAATTTTTTATTTATCTTTATTGTTGAAAGTATTATAGATTTCCCCTTTGTTTTTCTGTTTCCTCCCCCTCCACACTCCCTCCTCCTGCACCCACCCCTCCTAGGCCTTCACCAGATTGTCATCTGTGTCCATGGGCCTGTAGTCACTTTAGCAGTGATATTGAGTTACCAGAGTATCATCTTCAATGGAAAATAAAAAATACATTATTGGTTTTCTAAGACGTTATTACAATTTTTTACATGAGTAAAATATATGGAAATGTGGACCCTAACTTGCTATTGAAAAAACTAGGAATAATGTTAGTAGTCTATCCAACAGAAATTTGTTGACATTTACATAAGTGAGTAGAATGCTGGCTGTTCTCTATTCCCCAGGTAGTTTCTTCTACAAGTAAACTTACAAAACATAAACATTTCTATTTACTTGACAAAATTATCTCCTTGAAAGAAAAGAATTCCATGTAAATTCTGTTAGATAGGTTTTATAAGGAATAGAAACTAAAATCTATAATTGTACACTTATGCCATATAATTTCTCTTCTTTTAAAAAATAATTGTGCAGTATTGAAGAAATTTATAGAAAAGGGTTTTCTTCCCCTAGGCATACTGGTCTATTACTCCATGATCAGAAAAAGTTACTTAACATTAGGCCTTTTTTTGCTACATATAAATGAAAATAGTTAGCTCATATCATATACTAAACAAATGATTTCACTGAATATATTAAGTAGACCACCCTAATATATTATTCTAATCATGCTGTAAGCTACTTTAATTCTAAATATTATTAACGTGGGAAAGAACATTCAATTAGAAACCTGTTACTAACTATTATGTGTCTTTCAGAAAGTAAGTAAACGTCTGTTTTCTTATTTATAAAATGAGAATTGGAGCAAATGTCCTCTAAGGACCATTTTGGTTTTAAAATTATTTGTCTTTGAATATTAAATAATGTACTGAAGCTTTTTTAAAAACTCATACAATTTATATTTTAAAGAAAAATGGCACTTTATTTGAAATTCAAATTCCATTGTTCATTAACAAATGATACTGAAACACAGCCATGCTTTTCATGCACGCATTGTCTGTGGCTGCGTTTGCGTTTCCATGGAGGAGCCGCGTAACTGCACCACAGACCATATGCCCAGAAAAGCCATCTACTGTCTGGCTCTTTAAAAAGCTTGCCAATTTCTGGACTGTTCATTAATCCAGATGACAGATGATAATGAGTGGAACCAAGGTAGCCATAGTGGTGAAGGTGTGAAGCGTGGTCGGATGCTAAGTACATTTTTAAAGTGACTCAGGCCTGCGAAATCATTTGGTTTGGCCCTGCCAAGGCATTTGGGGTGAGTTAATTAAATGTTTGATCACATATAGCAGGCTAATTTTTAATTTGATCATTTTGTATGGCCCACAAATGATGTTATAAATATTCAAATGGCCCTGGGCAGGAAAAAGGTTCCCACCCTGGAATATGGGATATTAGAAAGAAGAAGGAGGTGAAGGTTTTTAGCCTGAACAACTGGAAGGATAGAACACTGTTACCGTGTTGAAGATGATATTAGTAGGAACAGACTTGGAATTATCAGGGAGTTCAGTTTTGGACCTAAACCATTTGAGATGCTTGTTGCCTGTCTAAGTGTAGCTATTCAAGTGTTATTATTCCAGGTTGACAGTGTTTTAGGTTGATAGAGTACAGAAAATCATTTAAGGTAAGATTCTTAGAGCAGTTGGCATTTCCCTAACTGTGTTCTGTGAGACACTTTTCATAGGTATTTTGAGTAAAGGAAGTTTTCATATGCTAGTAAGCATTGGGAACCTCTGGTAGGAACCCTTTCCACATTCAATTGGCCATCAAAATTTCTGGGAATAAATTCACATTTAGTGTTCTACAGATGATCTGGGAAATAATAGGGAAACTCCTAGGTCTGATTTAAATACAATTTGAGCTACGTTTTTTTTAAATGCTAATGGAGTTATTTTGAAGACATGAAGGAAGAAAACTCTGCTTGAGGTCCCCCCGCCCCCATTCCTTTTTAAACATACAATGGAGCACATTCATTTTAAGCGTACAGATTGAGTTTGAAGCTGTATACACTTACAATCGCTACCTCAATCAAGATTTCCTATTACCTGTTTTCTTACTCTACCATCAATTAACCACCTCTCTCCCGCTGCCCCCAGACAGATACTGGGGTTAATTTTGCCTCAAAACTATATTTTTATTTTAGTTTTATTGACACATGATTGCAAAAATTGTACACATGATGGTTTGACATACATAGAAATTGTGAAATTATCACAGTTAAGTTAACCACATCCGTTACCTCACAATGACCAGTTTTTAAGATCTTCTCTCATAGCATTTCCAGAATACAACACAGTATTATTAACTGCTACCACCATGCTGCACAGTATTAGTTCCTCATAATTTATTCATCATATAATTGACCGACATCTCCCCATTCCCCTTTCTTTCACCTCCCAGCCACTACCTTTCTGCTTTCTCTGGTTCAACTTTTTTATATATTTGGTTTACTTTTTCTAATTTCATGTAGATGAAAATTATTTTCTGCCTGTCTTCTTGGAATAAGCATGGATTTTTTGAGGTTCCTCCGTGCTGTTTTTTGTTGATAATTAGTATTCCATAGAATAAAGAGGCACAGCTTATTGATCCTTTTGCCTGTTGTGGTTTTATTTTCCATTTATCTGCAGACTGATGTTGAGCATCTTCCCATGTCCTTTTTGGCAATTGGTGTATTTTTAATGAAGTATCTGTTTAAATCTATTTTATTGCCTTCTCTCATACTGAGTTATAACAGATATTTGTAGATTTGGTTAAATCTTTTATCAGACAAATATTCTAATCTGTGGCTTATCTTTTGTGCTTTTGTGGAAAGGCTTTTAATTACTAATTCAATTTATTTGTAAAAGATAGAACTCTTAAATTTTTTTCCTGTTTTTCTATTTTTTCAAGGCACTTACTCATGTCATCTAAGTTGATGAGATTCTGCCATGAAATTGTTCATAATATTACCGTTTTATCTTTAAGGTCTGTAGGATCTATAAAAGGTTTCGTCTCCTCCTCCTCCTCTTCCTTCTTCTACTTGTCCTTCTAGCTCTAGAGCTTCATCAATTTTATGGATCTTTTCTAAGTATCAACTTTTGTTTCTCTTGATATTCTTTATTTGTTCTTTTTATTTTATTGATTTCTCCTTTTACACTTTCCTTCTACCTGATCTGGTTTCATATTACTTTCACTCATCGCACAGATAGAAGATTAGTGATCTAAAACCTTTCATATCTACTTTTGAGAACTGTCTTTTAAAGGCATAAATTTTTATTTGAAAACTGCTTTAGCTGCATCACCAAAATAATATTATATTGTAATTTCATTACCATTTAGTTCAAAATATTTTCTAATTTCCATGATTTTTTTCTTTGACCCATGGGTTATTTCCAAATATTTGGGACTTATATCTGTTATCTTACTATGACTGATTTCTAATTTAATTTTGTTCTCAGAAATTATGATCTATAATATTTCAGCCTTTTTAATCTATTTAGGACTTATTTATAGTCTAGCATATGGTCTGTTTTGTTGAATGTCTCGTACATTTAAAAAAGCATGTGCATTCTACAGTAGTTGGCTATGTGCTGTATAGGTAGATGTCAGTTAGGTGAAGGTGGCTGAAAATGTTGTTCAGGTCTTTTTTTTTTTTTTAACCTTTTTACCCCTCCTAGCTTTGTTAATTACTGAAAGAGTCTAAAGATCTCCATTCATTCATTCATTGTAAAAATGCACACACTAGTGTGTTCTCCTTGATCTCACTGAAATGGCAAACTAGTTTGGTATACGCACACTCGTTCCCAAGTGTGTATCCGTGTGTAAATAGTGTACACAACCTACATGGCCAGGGTTTGGCATCATTAAGAGATTTCACTTGTTTTTTATATAATGCAACTTTGGTGAGACTTGAGCTGGATGATCAATATACAGATTCATGGAGACAAATTTAGTGTGTATATGCATTTTAGGGTTGGCGAGTTGTGCATTTCAGGTTATTAAAAGAGATGATAAATACAATAGGATTATATAAATCATTGTCAAGGACTGTCACTTTCCTTATTTGTAAAATTGAGTTATTATTGCTTACTTGCCTTAGAAGTCCTTGGGAAGGTCATAATTATTTATGTGGAAGTACGGAGCACATGTTTCATCTTTTTTCCTCTTGTACATGG